AGCGTTGCTATGTTATGATGGTTATAATGTGCATGGGCATGTGTGTGCCAAGGTAAGGTAAGAATGTCTGTGATTGTTCTTGGCACGTTGAGTTATGCTAGAATTGCATGCTAAGGCGATCCAGAGGTACATGTTATCCTAAGCGAGGCTTAGAGAGTTTACTTGTTGAGTTTTATCTCATTGTTGTTATTTAACCATTTCAGACCCCCAACCATGAATGGTCATCCTCAACATTTTGGGATACCGATGGATATGGATCATATGTTAACAGAGTACCCAATAGGAGAGGATAATGTTTATATAAGACATGCGACGATGGTTTGGATGGACGAGGGCTTTGCGTTGTAGAAGCCACACACCTTTTTGGCTTGGTTATATTGGGAAAGGGACGTTCTCCTTGGTCCTCTTCGAGATTTTGATGGTCCCCATGATGGCGGATTAGGAGTTGCTGAGTGGGATCCCATGGAGATAGATCCTCCTGATGGGGTCGTTACCAATCCTGACACTGGTCCTAAGAGTTTAGATTCCGAGCTGGATTATTTAGAGTCTGATTCAGGGACGCCTCCGAGGTACCACAGGGATTGATGATAGGTTTAGTTACCCTGTCTTTTTGAGCGCCCTCTTTTGTATAGAGAAGTTAAGCTAACCGACCACCCGATCCTTTTTGCTTGTGCGTGGTCTGTAGATATACTAGCAAGGTTTGTGTATTGTATCTTCTGTAATTAATTATATGTTTATAAAAGTGGCTTTGTTGGTTTGTATATATGGTGTCTCCTTTACTATCCATTTGTATGATTGTTATTTGGGTGTTTCAAGTTCGCTTCCGTATGTGTTCTCTCATTAGTAAGTGGTTTGGATCGGCGACGAGTGCTGGGATGTCGCATTCAAATGACCATTGGTGAGATGTTGCGAGCTTCTAGGGTTCGGGGCGTGACACAAATAAAGTTAAATATATAACATTTTAAGTCAAGTAGCATGACATTGCTTTTAAATAAGAGAGTAATATCTATAAGTATTTTTAAAAACTACTCAACCTTTCATACGAAGCTTTTAAGGGCTTGTTTGTATCATTCAAAGCATATATCTCTAACAACTTGCGATTTGAATGCATAGAGCAGAATTTTCAAACCTTTGAAAATAACACAGTTTTATAGGTTGTATAGGATTGATGCTCCTATCAACGATATTTGTTATTGCCGATTCTATTCTCGAAGAATTTTCAAACTTTGCATGGATGGATTCTCTTACTATCTACATTTTCTTGTAGAAAACATGATATTTATGCAAGATGGTCAGTATATCAAGAACGTATCATATCATCCTTGTCAAGTTTGGTTGATGGTGCCATTAGCGTATCAATTTTCTCGCAACTATCCATCCCAATTTCTTTACTAATTCTCTGGCTTTTTTTATTGGAATGTGAAGGTGTCGGTCTCGACTTTTTTGACTTATAAACCAAAAAAGAAATTCAGTTCCCTATCATCTTGATTTCAAATTCACTCTTCGTGATACTTGCAAATTTCTTGCGTAACAGCTCATTAGTAGATCCAAAAATAATATCATCAATATATATTTAAATTCACAGAAGATCATCATATTTCTCTTTATGAACATTGTTGCAACCTACCTAAAGCGGTGGACCACCTAGGGTTTAGCTAATGGATTACTAAGCTTATATGTAGCTCGGGCTCTCGCAAGCCCATACCAATTCACAACTTAGGTTCTATCTTTAACATGCAATCTATTTCATTATGGAGTCACCATTAATCAATTTTTGGGGTCAATTAGAAATCCATATAAAGTGCGTGAGGGTAATTTACTTCTACGAACTAGAGATTAATTAGATTCGGGGACTTAATTATGCTAGATTATTCTAAATGTCCTTTCGGTACCTTTTTTTTTATTTTCAAAGTTCTTTTGCAGTTAACTTGGATTAATTTTAAATCTAGCCACTAACATGTGAGTGATGATTATGCGAGTGCGCAATCAATAAGAATAACAACAAATAATCAAAAGAGATAAATAAATTGCAAGAAAACAAGAGTTAAACTATGGCTCTAAATATACTAAACCAAGGCTAACCATGGTTTTCTGAATAGCTATGTTATTCTAATTAACTCTTTTTGGGTTTTTCTTTTATTTACAAACACTAACTATACGAAATCCTAATATAATTTAAACACGCGTGATGAAATGTGGCATGCCCTATTTCTAATGACATGCAAAAATAAGATGAAACTATTCTAATATGACATGCATTAAATGCCCTAAACATACAATCACTAAATGACATGAAGTTGATGACATGACATAGATGACATGACGTATTACATGGCAATGACATGGTATTCATGATGACATGGCATAGATTACGTGGCATATGATATGGCATGGTCATATAGCAAGCATTGATGATATAGCATATGACATGGTATGATGACATGGCATAGTGATGTGGTAAGCATTGATGATGTGGCATAAGACATGGCATGTGGTGTGGCATGATGCAGCAAGATGACATGACATTGATGACACAGCAAATAGTAATGCATGGACGATGAAACTAAATTATATGACATGCACATGTTATTTTTATGATTTTTTACTAAAATCCGTAATTAATAATTAATAAAAATAAATTACCAAATGTAAGATATTATCCAATTCAAACTAGGAAATAAACGAGGTTAAATCTTATTTTTAATGGAAACTTATCTTAATTAGATAAACTCTATCCTAGCAGGCAACCTATTGAGGAAAATTATCCTAATATATCATGAAATCTTATCTAGAATCTATTCTAAATCTATCTTAATGTTATTCTTATCTAATCTTTTTGATATTTTTTTTAGATAGGAAACAAATCAAATAAGTGTTAGGACTAACAATACAACCCTGAGGGGGGTGAATAGGTTATTTTAAAAAACTTTGACAATTTTGTGGAAATTAGCAGTTACTATGTAAGGATTAGGTCAAGTGGATATTTCATAAATCATGAATAGTTTGTGTGTGAAAGTTTGTGAAAGAGAGAGAGACAAGAGCACACAAAGCTATATAGTAGTTCAGTTTTATCCCCAAGCCTACATCCATTATCTACACTAACAGCCACAAGTCAAGCTGTAATATGCTAAACAAGTTACAACTAGCAAACACCAATCCTATCAAATAATAGATCACACTATCAAGAATTAAGTGTTGATATCACTCATATACATTTGATCTTTCACATGATTACAAGTCAGCAAGAACGCTACAGTGAAGATCTTAAGAGATTGAAACAATATCAGCTAAGGGCACGATTTAGAGAAAATTTTGTTTCTTGTATTGCGCGTGTCTAATGTTTGGCCTTCAAGATCTTCTCTTTCTAACCAAAAAAAGAAGAAGAAGATCTTCTCTTATATAGAACCATCTTCAATCTTCCCATTAGAAATGTCTTAGAAAAGCAAGTAGCCGTTAAAGATCCATTGGTGTTGCTATCCAGAAATAGTACTGCTCGTACATATCTTTTTCTTGAACATTTGCTAGCTATCCCAAAATAAGTTCTACCGTTGTTGTCTCGCTGCTGACAAATCTGACAATTCTGACAAAAGCATGTTTTACAATTCTCTATTGAATTCCAATTTCTCTGCTGCGCACCTTCAGTCGATGATGGCTATATTAATCAACATTCTCAAATGGTTGTTGTTCTAACATCACTAATGACATGATATCTTCAGCATCGACACAAACATCGTCATCAGCTGATCTTTAAGTCTGTCGGTGTTATTTACAAACAAAATAGACTTGTGATCTTTTTCCTTCATGGATATCACTTTTGTCCTTTATATTATGTCACGAACATCTGCAAATATCATAGTAAACATTGATCGTCAAAATTGTTTGAGATGTTTCTCCAACATTAAAACTATTGCACTTTTGTTAATTCAATCTTAAACAATGTTAATTTTGCCAATTGAACCTAAACATTTTCATGTTTTGCCAATTGAGTCCATCCGGCCAATTTTGGCTGAAAATTACTAACGTGGACACCGGCGGTCCTACGTGGCACGGCCGGCCGGTGCAAACGTGGATAATTTTTTTATGATATTTTAAATGTTTTCTATCTTTTATTTTTTTATTTTTCTTTTCTTTTTCCTTTTGTATTTTTTTATTTTTTTTTACACCTATGGCCGGCCAGGTCGGCCTTGAGACTGGACGAGGGGCTCGCGGCCCTCGCCTGGTCTAGATAAGGCCCGACACCCTTGCTTGTGGCCAACGAGGGCGTGGAAGCCCTCGCTCAAACCAGGCTTGTGGCTAGCGACTATCGCCAGCCAGAAGTGTAAAAAAAAGAAAAGAAAAAATTAATAAAAATTCAAAAAAAATTAATAAAAATTATCCACTTCAACCTCGATCGTGCTACATAGGACAACTGCCGTCCACGTTAGTTATTTCTAGTCAAAATTAGTCGGATGGACTCAATTGGCAAAACGTGAAAAGATTTAAGACTCAACTGGAGAAATTAAAAGGCTAAATGACTGAATTGGCAAAAGTACAATAAATTTAGGACTTTTTGGATAATTTCCCTATAATGTACTGCTTGTCATTATCATTTCAATTTCCATAAAGCCCATCCTACTATGTAGTTAAAACCCAAAGTCACCATATCTAAATCAACATGTCCAAAACATGGGTTCGACCTCTCCTAGTCCCAAATAGATAAGACAACATCAAGAACACGAATCCATTTGGAATCGACAAATAAGCATGAAAGTTAAGTGAGGAACAACGGTGGCTCCGAAGATACAATAAGTGGACGTGTGGACCTATGTGATTCGCTCTCAATTCAAAATCACTTACTAAAGCATTGCAGAGGCTCCGACAATTTCAATTCTAAATCCACGAATTACATTGATAGTTGAATGCAAAATCACCCTCGATACATTGTATAATCCATTATTTTTCTCGGCAAATAGATTTCATTTCTCCTAATGGAAAGCGACACTTCTTGCATGATCTCTAAATCCAAAAACAAGGATACAAGTAATTTTAGGCTAACCAACACAATCGATGGACCTCAAATTTTATTTAGAAAAAAGATGGTCCACCGGAAAAAGGAAAAGAGAGAAAACGTCACGGACAGAATGTGATGAGAAAATCAGCCCCACCGGCACAAGTGAAAGTGCTGGTCTTGTCGTCGTAAGCGTAGCTGTAAGCTTGAGGGCACTGGGCCTTGAAAATCTTTGAGTAGTTCGTCGGGGGGCACGTGTCCGGCGACCCATACGACCCGGTGCAGCAGTACTGTGGCTGGTTGAAAGCCAGGCATGCGCTCTTGCACGCCACGACGCTCCCGTCCGACCCCTTCACCGCCAGCTCCGGGGGGCACACGGAGTTCACGTTGCCTGGGCAGCTTGTGGCGCTGCACGCGCTGCCGCTGCCCTGTGGGGTTGCGGAGATCGGCAGGTTGAAGCCGTCCACGAGGCTGACGTCGTAGAAGTCCTGCTTGCCGGAGCCTGCCGCCGCGAGGGTGAACTCCGCTAGGGAGGCCGGCGGGATCGCCCCGGCGCCATTGCAGCTAACCTGGCCAGAGCCACAGTCAGCAGCGGCGCAAGTGAACTTGCCGGAGGCATCAGTGGCACAGCCCGTCCTGCCCCACACCCGGCCAGACCACGTGTCCGGAACGCCATTGATTGTGAAGGACGCGCCCGGGGCAAGCTCAAAACCGGTCGAGGATAGCTGCCCTCCGCCCCCACCGGTCAGCGTCCCGGGCCAGACGGTGTAGGTGCACTTGTTGTTGAAGGTGAGTGTGGCCGCGCCGGCTCCTCCTGCAAGAACAAAGAAAAACTTAGGATTGTATCTAGTTTCGGAAGAAGGCAACGTTTGATATGAATGCAGAAGCTTGTAATAGTTGAAAAAGGAAGGATTATGATGACAACGTGCTTACTTGCGAGGAGGACTAGGAAAGGCAGGAGGAGGTAAAAAGACCCTCTTGCGTCCATGATCGAAAGCTTGAGACTTGTTTCGTTCGTGGTTGTCTCTTTTATTCGAGGAGATCTATGAACGATGCCGGGGAAGCTAAGTTGAAATGACTTGTGAATCTTATCTTGGCTGATGGAATGAAAACAAAAAGAAACATATATAGATATTGTGCTTGAGTTGAATTAGATATAGTAAATGCCCTTGGTCCGGCTAAATCAGAAATAACGGGCAAGTAAATAATTTTTGTAATCTTGGGTTTTCAAACTTATATGGTATGCTTAATAAAGACCGAAGGTATCTGATGCAGCCGCGGCTTTTATGGTATTGAAGTAAATGTTAGTTTTGACATATGAGAATTACAGTACTCGCTTAGGGGAGAAAAAACAATTAGGAGCAAAGGGCAAAAAACGGAAAAAAAAATCATGAAGTATAATTATTAGAATTTAATAATGATTTTTCGAGTTCATCTCCTTTCCGGACTTATAATACTTTTAAGGAAATGATGCGTTACAAAGAGAGTAAATAGAATCTATCAATTTTTCGCTTGAATTGAGAGGATTTTAATCCTATTGATTATAAATGGAAATCATCGAAAGGCATAAATGTATATGTCACTTGGATTTTTTCCTTTCACTCACGCATTTTGACTTTTTTTAAAAATCGACACATTCCATACTTTCACAGAAAATAGATATTAACACTTAAGTTCGTATATTAATAGTATCTTATGATTTGATGAGTTTTTGCTTTCACTTGAGCTGCAAAAAAAAAAAAAACAGGATATGAAATGACACGTACTGCATGTCATTATCATTTCAATTTTCAGCAAACTGCGCCTAAAAACGTATTTAAAACCCAAAGTCACCTCATCGAAATCAACATGTCCAAAACATGGATCCGACCTCTCTTAGAATCGACAAGCAAGGATGAAAGTAAAGTCAAAGAAGGATCGTAATTCCGAAGACAAAACAAGTGGACATGAGGGCCAATTGGATTCACTTTCAATATAGGGATAATAACGGGAAAATTACCAAAAAAGTCCTAAACCTTTTGTAATTGTTTGTAATTGTGCCAATTCGGTCCTAAACCTTTTTTTTTGCCAATTCAGTCCTAAACCTTTTGTAACTGTGCCAATTCAGTCCATCCGGCCACTTTTGACCGGCCGGTGCTAACGTGGACACCGGCCGGCGCCGGCCGGCTGCCGTGGCAAGTTTTAATAATTTTTTTATTATTTTCAAAAAAAAAATTATTTTTTTCTCTTTCTTTTTTTTTCCCTATCTTCTTCCCCGGTCGCCGGTCCGGCGACCGGCGAGAGGTTGAGGCCGGCGAGGTGGACCTCGCCGGCCATGGGCGAGGCTGGCCCTAACCGGCACTAGCGAGTGCCAGCCTCGCCGTCGCCGGGCGAGGTCCACCTCGCCAGATCTAGGCGAGGCCTCGCCCGGCGATGGCGAGGTCGCCCAGATCTGGCGAGACCTCGCCGTCGCCATGGCCTGGCGAGCTCGACCTCGCCCGGCCATGGCGATGGCGAGGTCGAGCCTCGCCATGGCCTGGCGAGCTCGACCTCGCCCGGCCATGGCGATGGCGAGGTCGAGCCTCGCCATAGTCGGGCGAGGTCGAGCTCGCCAGGCAACGGTGAGGTCTCGCCAGATCTGGGTGGCCTCGCCGTCGTCGGGCAAGGCCTTGCCCAGATCTAGCAAGGTCGACCTCGCCCGGCGACGGCGAGGCTGGCCCTTGCTAGTGCCGGCGAGGGCCAACCTCTCCCATGGACGATGAGGTCCACCTCGCCGGCCTCAGCCTCTCGTCGGTCGTCGGACCGGCGACCGGGGAAGAAGATAGGGAAAAAAAAAAAAGAAAGAGAAAAAAATAGAAAAAATTCGAAAAATTATTTTAAAAAAATTATTAAAAATTGCCACGTCAGCCGGCCGGCATCCACATCAGCGCCAGCCGGCCAAAAGTGGCCGGATAGACTGAATTGGTACAATTGCAAAAGGTTTAGGACTAAATTGGCCAAAAAAAAGGTTTAGGATTGAATTGGCACAATTGCAAAAAGTTTAGGACTTTTTTGGTAATTTTCCCGATAATAACACATACAATTCCTGAACTTTGGCACAATGTGCAATGTAGTCCATGAAATTTTAATTTGTTCAATATAGCCTCTGAACTTTAGCCTAATGTTTAATGTGGTTCCTGAACTTTTAATTTGTTCAATGTGGTCCTTGGACTTTTAGTACATGAGTTCAATGTAGTCCCTGAATTATATGAAGATGTTCAATGTAGTCCTTCCATTAATTCAAGTTCAGGAACTATATTGAATATTTTCATATAGTTTAGGGACTACATTGAATACATGTACCAAAAGTTTAGGGACCACATTAAACAAATTAAAGGTTCAGGAATTACATTGCACATTGGATTAAAGTTTAAGGACCAAATTGAACAAATTAAAAGTTCATGAATCACATTGCACATTGGGTCAAAGTTCGAAGACTGTTTGTGTTATTTTTCCTTCAATATATGCATCGTCCTCGTATCAATCACTTACTACAGCATTGTAGAGGCTTCGACAATTCAATTCTCAAATCGGCTGATTTTTTCCGTGCAACCATCTGCACGGGCACACCCGGATAAGCTCCGAATATTTATTGGTACATTGCTTATTTTTGTATAATCCATTATTGTCGGCACATTACATTTATTTTTCCTAGTGGAAAAGGAAACTACTTGCATGATCTCTCCTCAATCCAGAGACGAGGATACAAATAGTTTCAGGCCGACAACACAACCCATGGACCTCATTCTTTCACCTAGAAAAGGAAATGGTCCATTTCAGTCCGGAAAAAGAGAGCATATGTCATGGACAGAATGTGACGAGGACATCAGCCCCACCAGCGCAAGTAAAAGTGTTGCTCTTGTCGTCGTAAGCGTAGCTGTAAGCTTGAGGGCACTGGCCCTTGAAAATCTTTGAGTAGTTCGTTGGGGGGCACGTGTCCGGCGACCCATACGACCCGGTGCAGCAGTACTGTGGCTGGTTGAAAGCCAGGCAAGCGCTCCACATTGCACAATGGGCCAAAGTTCGAAAACTTTTTGTGTCATTTTCCCTTCAATATATGCATCGTCCTCGTATCAATCACTTACTACAGCATTGTAGAGGCTTCGACAATTCAATTCTCAAATCGGCTGATTTTTTCCGTGCAACCATCTGCACGGGCACACTCGGATAAGCTCCGAATATTTATTGGTACATTGCTTATTTTTGTATAATACATTATTGTCGGCACATTACATTTATTTTTCCTAGTGGAAAAGGAAACTACTTGCATGATCTCTCCTCAATCCAGAGACGAGGATACAAATAGTTTCATGCCGACAACACAACCCATGGACCTCATACTTTCACCTAGAAAAGGAAATGGTCCATTTCAGTCCGGAAAAAGAGAGCATATGTCATGGACAGAATGTGACGAGGAAATCAGCCCCACCGGCGCAAGTTAAAGTGCTGCTCTTGTCGTCGTAAGCGTAGCTGTAAGCTTGAGGGCACTGGCCCTTGAAAATCTTTGAGTAGTTCGTTGGGGGGCACGTGTCCGGCGACCCATACGACCCGGTGCAGCAGTACTATGGCTGGTTGAAAGCCATGCAAACGCTCTTGCACGCCACATTGCACATTGGGCCAAAGTTCGAAGACTGTTTGTGTCATTTTCCCTTCAATATATGCATCGTCCTCGTATCAATCACTTACTACAGCATTGTAGAGGCTTCGACAATTCAATTCTCAAATCGGCTGATTTTTTCCGTGCAACCATCTGCACGGGCACACTCGGATAAGCTCCGAATATTTATTGGTACATTGCTTATTTTTGTATAATACATTATTGTCGGCACATTACATTTATTTTTCCTAGTGGAAAAGGAAACTACTTGCATGATCTCTCCTCAATCCAGAGACGAGGATACAAATAGTTTCATGCCGACAACACAACCCATGGACCTCATACTTTCACCTAGAAAAGGAAATGGTCCATTTCAGTCCGGAAAAAGAGAGCATATGTCATGGACAGAATGTGACGAGGAAATCAGCCCCACCGGCGCAAGTTAAAGTGCTGCTCTTGTCGTCGTAAGCGTAGCTGTAAGCTTGAGGGCACTGGCCCTTGAAAATCTTTGAGTAGTTCGTTGGGGGGCACGTGTCCGGCGACCCATACGACCCGGTGCAGCAGTACTGTGGCTGGTTGAAAGCCAGGCAAGCGCTCTTGCACGCCACATTGCACATTGGGCCAAAGTTCGAAAACTGTTTGTGTCATTTTCCCTTCAATATATGCATCGTCCTCGTATCAATCACTTACTACAGCATTGTAGAGGCTTCGACAATTCAATTCTCAAATCGGCTGATTTTTTCCGTGCAACCATCTGCACGGGCACACTCGGATAAGCTCCGAATATTTATTGGTACATTGCTTATTTTTGTATAATACATTATTGTCGGCACATTACATTTATTTTTCCTAGTGGAAAAGGAAACTACTTGCATGATCTCTCCTCAATCCAGAGACGAGGATACAAATAGTTTCATGCCGACAACACAACCCATGGACCTCATACTTTCACCTAGAAAAGGAAATGGTCCATTTCAGTCCGGAAAAAGAGAGCATATGTCATGGACAGAATGTGACGAGGAAATCAGCCCCACCGGCGCAAGTTAAAGTGCTGCTCTTGTCGTCGTAAGCGTAGCTGTAAGCTTGAGGGCACTGGCCCTTGAAAATCTTTGAGTAGTTCGTTGGGGGGCACGTGTCCGGCGACCCATACGACCCGGTGCAGCAGTACTGTGGCTGGTTGAAAGCCAGGCATGCGCTCTTGCACGCCACGACGCTCACTAAAAAAAAACACCGGATTAGCGACGAAACACCGGATTAGCGACGAAATTTGCGACGGAAAATTTGGAAAAATCCGTCGCAAATCGAATTTGCAACGAATTTTGCGACGGAAAAAATTCCGTCGCTACTAGGTCGTCGCAAAATTTTGCGACGGAAAATTTAAAAATTCGTCGCAAAATTCGTCGCAAAATTAGTCGCAAATTAGCCACGAATACAATCCG